CATTCACATGTATGATGTGTGCATTCACATGTGTGTGCACATTCACAGCTTTACCTTTGGACTCCCAACCTGGTTCGTATTAAACTGGACATACTTAAAGCTGGCGGACTGTCTGTGCAAGATGGTGGCCACTGCTATGGACATGGAAAGAGGGCCCTGGCCATGGTTCAGCCATAGTTTTACTTCGCTTCTCACTGACCTGGGAACCAAGCAAGAAGGGGACCTGGAGAACAACTAAAAAGCTCCTTTCAAGTTCTCAACTGATTTTCGTGTCATTTTATTTTCTATAGAACTGATGTTAAAAAAAAAAATGTTCTCGGGCCAGATGTGGTGGCCCACACCTTTAATCCCAGAACTCAGGCAGCAGAGGCAGACAGATCTTCATGAGTTTGAGGCCAGCCTGGTCAAAAAAGTGAGTTCCGGGATAGCCAAGGCTACACAAAGAAACTCTGCCTGAGAAAAACAAAACAAAACAACCCCCGTCCCAAAACTATTTTCTCCCAATGAAATCTACACATAAAGAATTGGAGCTGAGGCTGCTTACCACAGGACAACTATGATGAACACATTAATCACATTAATCAGTGCAGTAAAATGTGCACTTTGATTGGCTCCAGGCATCATGTGCCACTGGGAATAGTCAATAGCCACCACCAGTAATTACCAGTGGACATTAAGAACAATGACAGGTCACAGGTTAATTAGTTCTAGAAACTGCCCAGTACATATTGAGAAGGGACCTCACACGAGAAGAGCTGTTTTATTACTCTCTGCTACGGAACATTAGGTGCCTCAGTCCCCACAGTTCTGGCAGAATATATGATCAGCTGAGCACTCCATAAAAGGTATTTTCCTAAACAGAATTACATTCCAAGCAATCTAGTTCTAGAAATTGCTTTCATAAATGATTGAATCCATAGTTGCAAGAGCCCAGGGCTTGGATATCCCCAGATCTCACTCAGTCTCTCTGCTTCTCACCTGCCTGCATGGCACCTCTGCCTTCCCTGGGGATAAGACCTTTCAAGGTACAGCCAACTCTCTCTCTCAAAATAGTAAAGCTTTAGAGCCTTGCCCCAGAAGCTCCCTAGAAAACTGACTATTGTCAACATCTGTTTTATTATCAGCCTTGCGGTAGACGGTCAAGAGTTAGCACCAATGCTTTCTGCTCTGCAAAACACCATTGCCTAATCTTGGGGACTACCAGTGTTCTCACCAGACAGCACAAGGCTGCCCAGGCTTTGGAGACCCAAGTGGACTCAAACATCCATGATCGGAAAACTCTAGATTTTGAAAGCTGATTACCTGTAGTTTTGAAGCTCTTTCTTCCTCACTGTCAGCATCTAGAAGATCATCAATGTCGATTTCTACATCTGGCATTTCTTCTTCCTGGGGGAGCAAATGTGAAGGTTTTCAGTGCAGGGAGAAACTAAGTACTGATAGAGTTTACTATGGGACATGACTATCCAACCATGGGCTAACAGATAAGAGGGAGAGGCAAGGAACAGGGAGTGGAGAAGGAAGGTGACAGAAAAGAGATAGAAATGAGAGGAGGGAAGAAAGGGGCAAACAGAAGAGAGGGATGAGGAAGACAAAGGAAAATGAGTATCACATTCTACTCCTAACAGTAATCACACCCGTGGATAGATCATGGTAGACTGGGGAATACAGGAAAGCTAAGAACTACAGTTTCTTTTTTAGCTAATTAATTACATTGCTCTACATCCTGATAGTAGCCCCTTCCTCCTTTGCTCCAGGTCCCACCCTCCTTCCTGTTTCCCATATCCCCCCTCCCCTACACCTCAGAAAAGGGGAGCCCACCCACCCCATCATATCAAATTGCATCAGGATTGATTGTAGCCTCTTTCCCTCTGGCAGCCCACCAGGGGGAAGTGATTAAAAAAAAAAAGCAGGCAACAGAGTCCATGTCAAAGACAACCCCTGCTCCCCTTACTAGGGAACTCACATGAAGCCCAAGGTGCCCATTGGCTACATCTTTCTGCATAGGGGGCCTAGGTCCCATCCATGCATGGTCCTTGGTTGGTGCTTCAGTCTCTGTAAGCCCCTCTGGGCCCTGGTAGGTTGGCTCTGTTGGTCTCCTGTGGAGTTCTTGTCCCCTCCATGTTCCCCTTTCTTTCCCCCTACTTTTCCACAAGGTTCCCTATGCTTTTCCCAGAAGTCTTAGTATCCATTTTGATCTGCTGCTGGGTGGAGCCTCTCGAGGATAGCTTTGCTAGGCTCCTTGCAAGCATGGACAGTGCCCTTAGTGTCAGGGGCTGTCGCTCTCCCATGGGTCTCTGGGAGGGCCAGGCATTGGCTGGACGTTCTCTCAATCTCTGCTCTATCTTTATACTTGCATATCTTGTAGGCAGGGCAAATTTTATGTCAAAGTTTTTAGGGATGGGTTGGGTTTTCCCTCCCTCCACTAGGAGTCCTGTCTGGTTAGAGGGTGTCCTCTTCAGTCTCCATGACCCCTGATGCTAGGAGTCCCAGCCAGAGTCACCCCCACGTCCTCCCGGGAGCCCACCCTATTGTAGGTCTCCAGCTTGTCACAGAGGTGCCCCCGATTTACAGTTTCTGATCCACATACACTGTACTCTGGGTGGCCACAGCAGCTTTGCTGTTGGCCACATCCCCTCACAGCCCCTGGTCTGTAGAAAGCCTGATGCCACCACAGGTTCATGGTCAGAAGCATCCCCTCATCAGACACTGACTCGCCGAAGATTTGTAATCCCAGGCACAAGGGGATTCTAAGAAAGGTGCCCTTTCCACAAGAGAGCCCCTCATTCCCTCTGAACAAGTGCAGGCCGAGGAGGTGTGGAGCCTTGGGCATTGCTGGTGGCCTCTCGCTGGGGAAAAGAGGCTGAGCTTAGCACAAGGCTGACACAAGAGTCAGAGTCTCTTCTAAAGACAACAACAAGAGGACAAGAAGGGTGGGGGAGGGGATGGGCTGGGAGGAGGAGGGGTGAAGAGATGCGAGTGAATATGGTGAAGAAATGCTGTATGAAATTCTGTAAGAAATAATAAAAATATTTTAAAGTAGTTTCTATAAAGCCACCAGGCCAAGACACATGTGAGTGGATGTCTCATATTGTTCCAGACAATCTGGGTTGACTAACCAAAGACATCCAGTCCAGAAAAGAAGACACAAAAGGTGAGAGACCTCACCCGGTTGGAGCTGAATAGCCATCAGTTAAAGGCCTTTGGTCCCTGCCCTCTCTACTGTCCCTTTATGCTAAGAGCAACAACATCTTCAAATGCAAAAACAAACCTGGCTGCAAGAGAGACCTGCAACTTTGTGTTTCCTCTTGCCTCCTACAGTCATCCGCTGCCTAACTTCACTAGCCCCAGCAGAAGGGTGTTAGCAGTGGCTGGAAAGAATGCTACGCATGAGGACAGCCGGGGTCACCTGGCCTCACCTGCTGCATGCAATAAACTACCTGGTCATGACTTCCAAGCAAGGCTGACATTCTGAACATCTCCGGCAATTTGATTTTGTGTATCTTTGAAATCATGGCAGAAAGGAACGCTGGCAGAGGGAAATGTGGCTGTCAGGGGGATTAGCAGTAGCTGTGTAGACTTTGCCAGATTCTCCACAATGAAAGGACCATTGAGGATGCACACACAAGCAGTGAAGCCTCACTGGCTTGCAGAGCAACTGGAATACCACAGCAGGCCACGGGGTGATGTGGGCAGCCATGGGCCGGTGGTCCAGCCATAGGTGGCACCAAGTAGATCATTTATCCCTTAGACATCTCCAGGACAATGGGTGAATGGGCCCTAATGGTGAACCCCAGTATGTGTGTTTCAAAGGGTGAAGCTGGAGACAGATGCGGCTCCATCTATATAGCTCAGCCCAGCTTTAATCAGTAGCTTGTGAGGCAAGAACACTTTTGTGCGACTCAGCCGGCTCCATCCAAGAAAAGCCACACAAAATAGAGTCCCACAGCTACAGATGGTACAGCCTCCCTCCCCTTGTCCCCACTCCTCCCTAGAACAGATTGCTGGGTTCGGTATTTATCCTCCATGGACACCAAGCATTTGCTTATGTGATGGCTTTGTGAAATCGAGCAGAGGAATCTGGTATAGACTCTGCTCAAGAAGGGAGCTGTGGGCAGCTTGGAGGCTTCTGTTCTAGGAGACAAAAGCACAGTCAATAATGACTGTCACCTCAGAACAGTACAGAGGTGGGGGTTCCCCCTTTCACACACACAAAATCACAGGAGTAGCTTTGATGCTGAGCCCAGCTTCATCAAACGAGCTAGGACTTGTGTGATGATGTTTGCCCCAGGCAGGGGACCCCTCAGCCAAATGTCCTCTCGTTAGGAGTTAGCCAAGTGTCCTCTCTGTTAGCTACTGTGCTTGCCCTGTTTCCCCAGACAGAGAGCCAGGCTGTCTAACATGGTCACCACAGGTGGTATTTAAGTCTCTCACAATGAGAACCAGAGATGGATTCAGTTTCCATTCACACCACGCACAGTGTGAGCACACTCATGCAGCCCGTGGCTTCTGCTCCAGATTTAGAACACTACGAAGGTCCTGATGGGGCCACCACGGGGCCACCAGGCCTCTGGACCAGAGTTAGGAAGCAATGCCTCAATCCTAAAAAGCCTTCATCTCAAAAGAGATTAAGAGGTGCAGAGGGAGCACTGGCTCTTAAGGTCTCTCCTGAGACCCAAGGTCACGTGGCTGGGAAACTCTGAGCTCCTTTGCAAGAGGCACAGCTGATAAATGGTAAGGACTGACTGAATGGAAATCACAGCCCCCTCAGGGAGCCTGACCAGCTGCTTCCGAGGCCTAGGGAGGCCAAGCGCAGCCCGCACACAGAGCACAGGCTTTCTGCATACATGGAGCTTCTCTTTAGCTCTGGACATTTACAGGGCAGCAAAGGCCCCCATTGTCCACAGGGTATTCCCCCCCCCCGGTGACGATGTGCCCCCACACAGCAGCTCTGATGTCAGGAAGTGCTCTTAGGAGTGCTAGGGGACGCTATTAGCTCCCAGCTTCCTTAGGTGCAAATTCTCCTACTCATACGGAGACTATAACCCCCACCCCAGCCAAAGCCCCAGTGGGAGAGAAAGATTCTCAGAAGTACTTGTCTTCTCCTTTCTGCTTTCAGGATATCACTACCTCCCCCCCACCCCAGAATAAAATTAGTACATTTAACAGGCATTCAAGAGTAGAAGCTGAATCTAACCTCTGAAGGGGATATACCAAAGGCTCCATTCTACCTCTCCTGAGAATCTGCCACAGAACAAAATCCTGAATGGATGGAGATCTGTTCTGTGGTTTTGGCGTTTTTGTGGATGTAGTCCGCTACCCACAAAACCACCAACGATGCTTCTCTTTTAAAAGGTAGAGATCTTTAACACATTTCCTCAGCCTGGACTCAAAAACAATCTCTATAACAGATGAAGAAGGCATCTCGGGGACCATATTCCCCTCCCCAGAGTGAAAAAATAAACAAATGAAAAACCATGTAGCCTGTCTGACAGTTAAGCACTAGCCAGTCAGAGAGTGGATGACAATTAGGTACCACCATCTCTCACAAGTTAGCCAAACTGTAATCCTTCATATATATTTTTTTCCTCAGTTTTTTAAAAGAAGTAGAAGCAGAAGAAATGAACTTGAACAGTCACAAGCTGATGTCACCCTGACTTGTTGAAAACATGGCTACCGAAGTACAAAAGCAGGAAGAGACAAAGGAAGGAGATGGGCCATTCACAGGCCCAGGCTGATGAAAAAGTTGAAAGGCTGCATGAACAGGCTATTCTCATCCCAGTGTGAGGCAACTGGACTGGAATGGGAGTTGTCAAGAAAGGAAAGAGAGAGTTAAAATGTGTGGAAGCTATGGAATGAGTGGAGAGGGAACTCAGCAATGAACTGGGTGCTGGAGAAGGCAAGAGTGAAGAACAGACTCAGGTTCTGACCCAAAACAGTCTAGAGAAAGAGGGGAACAACAGAGACACGGGGACCACCAAGCCACTCACAGCACACCTAGCGGCTAGGAGGTCAGCACAACCAGCCTCACGCCAGCCAGCCTCGTGCCAGCCAGCCTCACGCCAGCCAGCCTCACGCCAACTATGAAGCAGTCAGGATTCCCACCCTGCAATGCACTGAGTGGCAATGGGCAGCCCTGATCAGCACCCATAGTAGCCAGGAGCTCAATGCAGGCTACAGGGATGAAACTGAGACAGAGTATCAAGCCCATTGTAGGGACGGCACATGCGCTCACATGCCTGCCACGGTGGGCACTCACACGTGTACATCTAGACCACCACACCACACAGGTCTGCATGTTCCACACGATCACAGAGAGTTTCACACACAAACACTGTCACTTACACACACATTTGCATGCAAACTGCCTTGAATACAATCCCACTGTC